TTTTTTTTAAAACTTTAAAAAAACAAATGGCAAAAATTAAATTTAAAAAAAAAAAAAAAAAAAAAAAATCCCTTTTTTTTTTTTTTGGACTCTTTTTAGAAACAACAAAAAAATGTTTTTGGGTTTTAAAAATAATTTAATCCCACCTATTGGATGGTGGGTATTTGTATATATAAAAATACCCCCCCTGTCCATACCCCCCCATATACATAATTGAGTACGAGGATAAGTACATTTTGATGTTTTTTAAAATAGATCTTTTTTTTTTTTTATTTTTTTTTTTTTGCCGTTGTTGCAATATTAGGCCAAAATACCCCCGTACCACATCATAATGATCTGCCCATCCATATCAATACCAATATGGGAGCGATTAATACTTACATAAATAAATTAATATAAACAAAATTCCACAGAAGCTTCTGTCGTTTTTTAAAAAAAAAAAAAATAGAAAAATTTTGGTTTAATTATTTTTTATATTTAATTATTTTATTTTTTTATTATTTTTTATTTTATTTGGGGTTTAATTAAGTTTATTTTAAAACAAATTTTGTGCAAATAAAGATGAGAAAAAAATAGGAATAATTTTATTTAATTTGGACATAACTAAATATTTAGTTAAATTTTGAATAATATGTTCTTAAAGAAATAAAAAATAATAAAAAATAATTTATTTTTAAAAAAAAAATTTTTTTGAGTTTTTAAAATTTTTTTATTTTTTTTTAAAATTTTTTTCACAACTTTTTTTTTTTTTATTTTTTTTTATTTTTTTTTGAATTTGATTTTATTTAAAACTCGTGATATAATAAACTAATTAATATTTATTATATTATCATATTTAAATTAATAATAATTAAAACAAAGAGTTAAAATCAAATATATCAACAAATATTTATATCAACAAATATAAACATATATAGATAAAGAAAAAAAAATGGTATTCGAACACGATTGTCGTATGTACGAAAAAAAGTACCCAGAAGAAAATGAATTAGTTATGGTCAGAATCGAAAGTATTGGTGATATGGGTGTTTATGTTTCATTATTAGAATATAACAATATTGAAGGTATGATTCTTTTATCAGAAATTTCACGTCGTCGTATTCGTTCAATTAATAAACTTGTCAGAGTTGGTAAGACCGAAGCTGTTGTTGTAGTTAGAGTCGATAAAGAAAAAGGTTATATTGATCTTTCAAAGAGAAGAGTTACACCAGAAGAATATGCTCAATGTGAAGAACGTTTCCATAAATCAAAAGCTGTAAGTTATTTATAAATATATAAATTAAAAATGATCATCATGATCATCATCAAAATTTTTACTTTTATACTAATTTTAAATTTCTTTTAAATCACCTTAGGTTCACGGTATTGTTAGATATGTTGCCTCAAAACTTTCAACTGATAATCAAGTTGTTAAAACTAAACATTTATACAAAAAATTCGTTTGGCCATTATATTCCAAATATGGTCATGCTTATGAAGCTTTCAAATTATCAATTACGTAGGTTTCATTAATAATAATTAAATATTATGTTGGAAAATTATTTTAGGAACAAACAGAGAATATCAATTTTTCAAAAACTATAAACAATCATTATCCAAAGAAATCTTTTTATTTTTTTTAATAATACCAATATACCCACACCAACTTCACTATAATATAAATCAAGTATATTAATCAATTTTTTTCTTTTTTTAAATTTAAATTAGCGAACCATCAGTTTTCAATGGTTTTGATATTTCAGATAGTGAAAGAAAAGTTTTAATGGAAACCATCGTTCAAAAACTCAAACCACAACCACACAAAATTCGTGCTGATTTGGAACTTACATGTTATGCATACGAAGGTATTGATGCTATCAAATCTTCAATTTTAGCTTCACAAAATCACGCCACCTCAGTCCTTAAAGCCCCAGAAGATGGTAAATTTGACGAAAAAGCATTTGGTGTTGTCACCATTAAACTTGTTGCCCCACCACTTTACGTTATGGTTGGTACTTTTGATGAAAAAGAAAAAGGTCTTCAAATGGTCACCCGTTGTGTTGAAATTCTTTCAGAAGAAATTACCAAGAAAGGTGGTAACTTAACTGTTAAAACTGCTGTATGTTATTAATATACATATATAACCATATATTATTATTTACAAATTCTAATTATTTTTTATCTTTTAATTTAGCCACGTATTGTTGGTGCTGTTGATGACCAAGAACTTCGTGATCTTATGGAACAACTCGAAGTTGAAAATCAAGATGGTGATAGCGAAGATGAAGATTATGAAGAAGAAGAAGAAGAAGAAGAAGAAACCCCAAAAAGTAAAAAATCAAGTAAATCAAAATAAATAATTTATAAAACAACTATATAATTAAAAAAAATATACTAAAAAAAAAATAAAAATTAAAAAAAATAATAAAAAAAAAAAAAAAAAAAAAACATAAAAAAAACAATACATTATAAATAAAATAGTATCTTATTTATAAATCATTCATTTTTTTTTTTTAAAATAAATCTTTAATGTTTATGTTTGTGTGTGTTTATTTATATGCATTTACCAAAAATATTTTTTTAGAAATAAAATTATAATTTATTACAAATAAATTAGTTTAACATAAGGAATCATTAATCACTAAAAAATAATTTTAATCAAATCATTTTAAATTTTCTTTAAATTTATTATTATGGTTTTTATTAACGGAAATTTTTATTATTTTTATTATTATAAATAATTTATTAATCATCAAAGTGGAGTATGAGGGGATATTATAGTATCACAAAAACTATCGCCATAACCAAATAGAAGTTCAACGAGAAAAAATCCTATCCTTTTTTTTTTTAATTTTAATTTTTTTTTTAATTTTATTTTTTTATTTTTTTTTTTAATTTTTTTTAAAATTTTTTTTGTGTGTGGGAAAATCAAAAATTAATGATGATTTTTTTTTAAAATTTTTTTTTTTTTTTTTTAATCAATATACACCAACTTTATATAAAATGTAATATATAATATTATATAATGAATATTTCTATATTTTCTTTTTTATTAATATTAACTTAATTTTTTCTTTACTTTAGTAAAAATGAACCCAGCCATCTACAACGATTTAACTAAACCAACTGCTGGTACGTACTATTCAAAATTTTAGAAATAATTTATAAAACTAAATTTAATTATTATTATTATTTTTATTATTAATAATAAAAATAATAATGGTAATCAAAATTTTTTAATGAAAAATCATTCCATACTAATTATTTTTTTTAAATTTTTTTTTAAAATCAATTAAATGATGATCACCACCAAATAATATTTAATTTAAATCAATTAATTTTATAAATTAACTTCAAATAGATTTCATCAAGAAAGATTTCCCAGAAACCTACAAATTAGAAGCTACCCTCAAACATAAAATCGGTGTAAGTTTCATATAAATATTAGGAATCAAATATCATATAAATAATATAACAGAATTTAGCAACACTTTATAAAATTTGAAATTTCAAAATTTCAAATATTTTTTTTTATACATTTTTTTATTTTGGAAATAAAGAAAATAATAATAATAATCGTAGTTTTTATAACGAATATTTAATTAATTTAAATTTTATTATTTATTTAACAACTTTAACAGAGTGTCGTTTCAACTGTTGATCTTTCAAACGGTTCAGTTACTGGTACCCTCCAACCAAAATTCGATTTATCAAGCTATGTCAACAAAACTTCAGCTGCCAACTTTACCATTGATACCAAAAACTTAAAGAAAGGTGAATTCAATATTGAACAACTCATCCCAGGTTTAAAAACTATTTTAACTGTCGACAGCAAAAAATTAGTTCAAGCTGAATTCCAATACAAAAAAGATAAAGTTGCCATCACTGTTGTTGGTAAAAACGATAAGAGCTTCAATGCTGGTTTAGTTTACGCTGTTTCACCACTCATCACTTTAGGTGTCCAAGGTGAACACAAAGGCACCTTCAAAGCTGCCAACGCTACCATCGTCCTCAAACCACGTTCAGATTTATTCATCACCATTGCTGACAAATTCATGGACCAACAAATCTCTGTCTCAGCCCTCTACAAAGCCAGCAAAAAAGTTACTGTTGGTGGTGATGTTTCAGTCAACCTTAAAGCTGGTAACAGCACTGCTTTCAACATTGGTACTCAATACACCATCGATGCCACCCAATCAATCAAAGCTAAATTCAACAACAAAAACAAAATCAACTTTGCTTATCTTGTTGCCCTCAATCCAAACGCCAAAGCTTCATTCGGTTGGAATGTTGACTCAAAGAACATCAAAGAAAACAATACTTTCGGTGCTAACCTCAATATTACTCTTTAAATTATCCCTTATAAACTTTTATAATAATATCATAATAACAATAATAATAAATATATTTTAAAAAAAAAGAACAAAAAAAAAAAAAAGAAAAAAAAGAGTATTAAAATAAAATGTTAATATTAGTAAAATTAAAAATATAATAAACTTCTTTTTTTTATTGATTTCATAAAATAGTAATGGGCAAAAAGGTAAGATAAAAAAAGATCAAAGGAAGATTTAAAGGCAGTATTTTTATTAAATTAATATGATGTTTAAACAAAGTATTTAAAAAACATATTAAATCTATAGTTTTATTTTTTTATTTTTTTTATTTTTATTTATATTTTAATAGTACAAGATTATATTTATATTAAAATAATTTTTAACTATGGCATAATAATTATATTTATAATTATTATTTTTATTTCCATTGTTTAAACAATAAAATTAATTATTTTTTATTTTTTTTAAAAATCTGATTTAAAAATTAATTGTTTTTGACATTATTATGATTATTATTTTATTTTAATATATATTATTATAATATAATATATTTTATTTGTATATATTATAAATAAAATAATTTACAAAATTTAATTTAAATTTTATAAATTTTTTAAAGGAATACATGGATGATTTTACAATAATTAGTATTACATATTGAGTATAAATGATTGTTCTTGGGGAATTAATAGTTGACTATTGTTAGATTGAGTTGATATTGTTTTTGTTTTTGTTGTTGTTGTTTTTGTTGTTGTTGTTGTTTTTATTATTGTTTATGTTGTTGATGTTTTTGTTGATAGGGATTAATATTATACAAAAGAAAAGAAGAACACGTGAGTATGGGGGACTATTTATAATTATGGAATTTTTTTTTTGTTTAATTATTAGTAAAAAATTTTTTATAAACAAAGAACAATGTTATTTTAAAACATAAATAAATAATTAATAAGCAAAAAAACATTTTTTTTTTTTTAAAATTTTTTTTATGGAGGGGTTATATAGAGAGGGAGAATGTTTATAAAATTATATAAAATTTTATTTTTGATTATTATTATTATTATTTATATAGATACAAAGAGACGATATATAAAAAATATAACTATATAATTATATATAAAGAGTTTATACATATATATTATTTGATTATTTTTTTTTTTAATTTAAAAAATAAAACATTATTTATTTTTTATTTAATTTTATAATTTAAAAAAAATAAAATAAAAAGATTATAATAACACCAAAAAAAACCCTACAGTAGTAGTTTTTTTTGGTGTTTGTACATTAATATTGGTTATTACATTAATTTTAAATTCATAATAAAAATAAAATAGGTTCAGGTTAAAACACAAGTTGTTTTTTTTTTTTTTTTTGGTTGTTGTATCAAAAAAACTTTATATATTTAGTACTGTTTTTTAAAAAATATAGGTGCAGACATATGTGGATTCCTAAATTGGTATATAGGTATTAATTAATTTAAAACCATTATGATAATAATTTGATTGTTTTTTTTTTATATATAAACAACAATTGTTTAAAAGAAATTTTTTATTCTCTTTCAATTGAATATTTTTAACTGGTAAAATTCAGAAATTGATTTATCTATTTTTGTTAAAAGTGATAAAAAAATACTAATACTTCATTTTGGCTGGATCAAAAAAAATAAAATAAAAAAGATTATTGAGAAAAAATAGATATAGAAAATAATGGAGATATTGGCTTTGCATAAAAAATAAATTTTATGTATATGCACACAAACTTAAATTTTTTTTTATATTAGTTTTTTTTAATTGTTTTTTTTTTTTTATTTTTTTTTAAAGATTTGATGTCCATTGAGATATTAAATCACACAACCAATATATTTTTTAGCAAATATTATTATTGGACCAATAGATTTTATTTGCTGAATCAAAAAAAAAAAAACAACTCAATCCTACTTTATTGTGGTCGATTTTTTTATTTTTTTTTATTTACATAAAAAATTTTTTTTTAAAAATTGATGATGATCATCATAATATCAACATAAATATCATCTAAATATAATCTTATAAATAATTTAAATATTTAAAAGATATAAATAAATTGTTTTTTTTATTTTTTTTAATTTTTAAAAATAAAAAAACACACACCCACATAATTAAGTAAAAATTAAAAAAATTAAAAAAAACTATAATATTAAAATCAAAAAAGTAAAATATAACATCAACTTAGGGTGTTTTAACATCAACAAGGAGATCATGCGATTATAGGCGTATGTTGTATCAGAGAGTTAAAAAATAAAAATATAATTTCAAATAACCCAAAAAAAAATATATCATTATGATTAAAGTAATGAAATATAAATGATTAATCTCTATACAATAAATAATTTAAATATATAAAATTAGTTATATCAAATAAAAAATATAATTTTATGTAAAAAGTTATAAAGGTGTGAAATGGTTTAAAAATCAATAGTAATCATAATGATTTATAGTGATGATAATTTTTTTTTTGTTTGTGTGGTGTGTCATATGTGTATGTTTGAAACTTGATAAATTTGTATTTATAATGGATGGTTCAAACTACAAGATTGATTTTATTTTTTAAAATTAAATATAATATGAATTTACTATTACAATTATAACCACATCCCAACATAAATCGTCAAATTTCATTTTTTAATATATATAAATGCATAAATAATATATATATTTTAAATTCACTTCAATGTATAGTTATAATTTACACTAAACCTACCTAAAACTACTACAATAATAATAATAATATTAATAAAAATAATAATAATAAAATTATTAATAATCAAATAAATCAAATTTTTTAACTACATGTTATTAATACCCCTATTTACATATCATTATTTAAACGATATAATTTCACACGCACACAAAAATCACACATACCACATGACACACCACACACCACTAACACCGTCTACATTATTTTCATTTAAATTATATTCAAATACTTTATATTTTATTTTAATTATAGTTTGAGCTACTATTCTATTGACGAATTTTAAAGATTTTTACTATTTTATTAATTGATTATAATTTTTTTTTTTTTTATTTGTCAGATATTTAAGTTATGGATATTCTAAAAGTGATTATTAGTTTGATGTTAAAGTTTTTTATTGATTTTTTGTAACTTATATCAATGTATCATTTAATTTTTTTTAATATATTATTTTATTGGTTCTTTTTATTTTTATATATTAATTATTTGTTAGAACTTTGATTCCCACCCAAACTATTCTTTTAAATTCCCACACTACTTTGTTAACATACATACACTCACACTCATATACACACCTAGAGAACAAAAA